CTTATTTATAGCATCCCTGCAGGATACGTGATTTGGACAGTAATCAGACGGAAGCGCCACTTTTAACCATTCGGTCTGGAGCCTCCGCAGATTCACCTGCCCGCTGTGGATGCCCTACTTCCAACTGTATTCAACCATGGAAACGAGGACGGCCGATCTGCTGGAGCGGTTTCGCATACCACCGCCACCAGTGCAGCGTCCGGAGTCGTCACTGAAGTCGTAAGAAGCCAAAATAGCAGGTGAGAACTATGTTTTATGGCGCATGGAAAGGCTGAAAGGAAACAAACATGGTCCAAAGGCTATGTTCTAGAGCAGGAATACAGCTTACAGGCACCCAAATAACTAGGTAGTTTAAAAAACACCGTTAAACAAACTGTCGAGTCACGGCATTTGCTAAAAAAAATTGTAACTAATTTTACTTGCAAGAATCCATTTTTTCGAAGGCCATAACAATGAAATCGGTATTTCTCACCGAAATCCCACCTTAAAACAATTCTGACCCCCGAACTTACACACAACAGAACCGTTTGCTCTTGTTTCATTGTGACCGTTTCTTTTTGATAGATATTACGCTTCCGTAAATGAGTGCTTTTTGAATAAAGCACCAAATACAGTTGCAGTACGACCCACGTTTATGCATCCCACCCCCAACTGACCTAGTGCGCTTTCGTCACGAATGTCAGTCGACTCCCAGCATACAGCGGTCTGCTCGTCTCTACTGGTCAAGTATATGTACGGTAAAGAGAAGCAGGAAACTCATTCGAAAGTCTCGGGGTAAGGTCTCACCGTCACATCGAATGGCCTTATCTGAAATTTGCGGTGCATTTCGGTTACGATTCACCAGGCCTGTGTCTACGACGGATCTCCTCAGAAAAAAAAACTCATTTCTAACAGCGATATGATCACAACAATCTAATTTATTTGACAAGTGCCGACACCTTCAATGTCGCCGACGAAAACAAGAAGTTATATTGACAGGCCGAAACCACAATAGTATCAAAGAAAAAGCACTCCGCCCGGAAAATATCAATCTGCATCTTCTCCACCGGGCCAAAAAGCGTCGCGCAGTTTAACTGTCAGCGCAAGGAAATGGCGATGACTGGCGAAGAGGTCTTGATTTGGATCTGCATCCACCCACCGCACTGCAGCTGCATCATCACCTTGAAGAAGTAGAAAAGAAAGCCATTTTTCAGGAGAAAAGTAACACTCTTTCCCGAGCTGAATTGAACTGTTTGCAGTGGAAAATCGTAATCTGCCCATCGAAGCATCAAATTCTGGACGACTATCAGTTACTTAATTTACTGATAGCGAAGCAACTGATTAAATGAAATACACTTCAAAATACA